GAAAAGGCGATACCAATCTTAATAACTTTATAATGACCTGAACGAAAATTCAGGAGTGGTTTTGCTGAGCTAGGGCTATACATCCTACACACATGATCATTTTGTGCTAACTGGTTATCTAGGAACTGTCACCGATTGTTTAGTGGTGACTCATGAGTGAATTCTAATCCCAGACCCCATTTTCCGAAAACATGAATAATGTCAGTTACTGTTCAAAACAGGATGCTTGAACAAAAACACCTTATCAAGAATGGTATTAGGAATGGTATTGAGAAAGTTGTTAAGAATGGCATTGTTTTTTCGTGTTTGCGTTCTGCACTGGTTAGGTCTTATTATCATCAAATGGGCACTAGTTTATCGTAAGAAGTGACGAGGCTAACAGACGCAAGTTTCCCGGACGCTAGCATCCGGCAAACTGTTCGCTAGTTCACTAAACAAAATAAAAAAATGCACACAGTATCGCTTTTTATTTAGATCCAGAGCATAAGAAATCTTCAGCAGTACTTCCGTACATACACAGACAATCCCACAGTATGAAGGATGTTGCCAGCCGGTTAAGAGCAAGGTTAGTTTTTTCGCCGCCTAGTAAGTTGAATAAGGTGTGTGAAATGGTCCGAGGGAAACTTAAGAAGCCCGTTTCAGGAGTAACCAAATAAGGTTGCGGGGCCAAACACGCAACTGCCTTTGTACAGTGCAGCGTGCATCTTTCGCCGTTTTCCTGTGGTCGCACGACCACGCCAAACAAGTACATGCATGAACATTAGGTTATTGGAACACAGACGCCATTTGCCAGAGAATATATGCTCAAGTGTGCCCCAACATGTCACGCAGTGCCATTGCGCACCTGTCTTTTAAGCGGCTAAGGTTCTCTCGACACACAGCGATCAAACCACATGAGAAATAATAGGAGCTGACAATATAAAGAAAGGGCGAACAATGCATCAGCGTGCCTTCATAAGCCCTACATGATAGCGAGGTTAGGTTCTTAGATAGCATGGTATCCTAACTTTTATGCTGTTGGAGAGTACACGTGGGATGTATCAAGAATTTTTTTTTTCCATTGTTAAAAACGCCAGCTGATCTGCTTTTTATTGCCTTGATGTGGTCAAATTGGTGTGAAAGTTGAAGTGCTGCTTTTCCGTTCATTTTTTTTTCCAATAAAAAATTCATTTGCAAGTCAGCGCTGCGGTTCATTACTTCTCGTGTGTACGTGTGGTCGGGTGCTGTTTTAAAATATGTTCAAAGACACAGCTAGGCCTGACAAAGCTACCTACCTGCCTATAACTGTAAACCAAGCCTGAAAGCTGTATACGCGAGCCTGTGTCACCTTAAGTGGCTGCTTGATCCAAGGATTTTACTCGCTAAATTTGCATGAAATCTAGCTTAAACTTCAGTCGAGCTAAGCTAAATATATAATGAGTGCACACGCCTCCACCCCCCGCTGGCTTGTTAAATGAAGGGACTCACCAATATTATGATGGCGATGACAAAGCTCACAGTGGTCATCGATGAATTGCTGGTGACGCGGTTCCTTGTATGTTACCTAGTTTCATACATCCAGGTAAAGTCCATACTCACAGAGAGAAGCTGAAACGCGACTCGTACGTACTACTATACTATCGCGAGCCCAGCGCACGAACATCGTGGCGTTTGCCATTTCGTGGAGCCCGAGAAGAACCACCTACAAAATGTTCAGCATAACCATAGCAGCGAGGGAAAAATGAATGTCGGCCACCCACGTGTAACGCTATTCGACTATTCGATGCTTCAGTATTCGCGCATGCGTTCTAGCCCGATCTGATTGCGCTATTACGTCACGATACAGTTCGTCACCATCTTATCGATGAGATCTGCACCGGTGTTCTGCGGAGTGAAGAGATCGAAAAGGAGATGTATGTGCACTGTTAATACTTATAAAAGGGAACATGCCAATGCGTGACCTGCTCGCTGCGACGACTGCATACAGCACCGTCAACCGATAGCCTAGAAAAGTACGCCGGCTTTCGGCGTCCCCAATATTTCCAAACAAAATGGTGAGTCATTGCCGTTGTACAAGCACTCCTGGATAACAGTGCCCCTCCGTTTCGATAAAGGGCGGTGGCGACAAAAGTGGGCATGCTTTTGTTAGATCTCGGTTACTGATGCTGTAGGCATGCCGCCGCAGAGCTCAGCCCACGCGTTCGCATGTTTCCTTTCGTAAACATTGACTGAGTGCACAAGCAAAATAGAAGGATTGCGCATGGTAGTTGGACTCGGAATGTTCTAGACGTGCCCAAACTGCAGAGCTAAAGTGGCCGCCACTCCCCCCTCCCCGCCCCCAAGATAGCTTCCGTGCAGTCGCCTTTTCGCGTACACTTTGCGTTCTTGAATTGCAACTCAAATTCGGCATGACCTACAATTGTGCGACGAACATGAGCAACTAAACAAAGTAGTTATATTACGGTCATTTTTTTACCTGATGTAACGTCGCCTTTATCTTGCTGATGGCTTTATCTTGCTATCTTGTCGCTTTTATCTTGCTTCTTGCTGACGGAATCAACCCGAATACGTTTCGTGAGAGCAGAGTTATACTCTTGCTTAAAAGCGAGGGAGAGCCGTTCGATCCAAGGACGTGGAGGCCCATTTTCCTACTTAACTCGGATTATAAGATATTGACAGCCATCCTTGCAGACCGCATAACAACCATTCTACCGGAAATAGTAAGCGACATACAAACATGCTGTGTCCCAGGTCGTACGATCTATTCCTCGCTTGCGGTGACTCGCGATTTAATCACGTACGCTACAAGAACACAAATATCTGGCATTTCTGTTTCCTTGGATCAGGAAAAAGCTTTTGATCGCGTAGAATGGAACTATCCCTTCGCTGTGCTTGAGTGTTATGGCTTCCCAGCACATTTAACCGACACCCTCCGCTTACTATACACAGACTTAGAAACGTCATTAGTAGTGAATGGCTATACATCTGAACCTATTGCAGTGAATAGGGGCATTCGACAAGGCTGTCCCCTCTCCGCAATCCTCTCTGTATTATGCATAGATCAATTATTGAAACAAATCAAGATATGCACTTTGATACGCGGTTTCCCTCTTTCAGGCTTGGGCGAAGTGAAAGTAGCGGTATACGCCGATGACATCTCGTAGTTTATTCGGAACATAGATAGCTACAGAGCCTTTCTGCGAACATTCCACACGTATAGTTACCTGTCGAGAGCACGTCTTAATCCCGGAAAAAGCAAGGTATTGTGCTTTGGAATGCACATTGAAGAGTTCCCTGATGGCGTCCAAATCGTCCAAGGCGTTAAAGTCTTAGGTGTAACTTTCCTCTCGACAGGCGAGGTAGCCCGCACCACATGGAAAGAAATCCAACACAAAGTGGACAGACGCATTGAAGTTGCCAGAACGTTCCAACTACCTTTTACTGAAAGAGATTATCTAATTAAATCAAGCATAACAGCGCCACTGTTTTATGTAGCCAGAATTGCTCGACCACCTCGTCGGGTTCTGCTGAGAGTGGCTACTGCGTGCGGCTCCTTTTTTTTGGGATGGCCACGCCGAAGCTCTTGCCAGAGCCTTGGTCCGCCTAGCAGTAAAATATGGAGGGCTCAGTGTACCCAACCTTGATGTAATCTGCCGCATGTTGGCTCTCAAAAACACCTGGGCACTCTTAGAGAACTCATCGTATCGAGGCAGACAACTCCTAGTGTATCTGCTAGGAACCTCTAGAAGATTTTTTCGGTTTAGTAAACGACACGGGACCAGCTGCCGAACAGCCACCGGCGTATTACACACATGTTATAAAATCTTTGCAACAATGGCGAAACGATTTTCCAGTTCAAGAACTTATGGAAATGTCCCCCACCGACATGAGTGAATTAATAGCATTTAACAGCCTATCTGAAGAAGAACGCCGGAAATGCCGGGCGAAAAGACGTTGGACTTTTACAAACACGTCTCTCCCCTCCGAGGTCCGTGACCTAAACTGGCTTAGGGAATGGGAGGCTTTACCAACGGCCGACCGCCTTGCGGCGTGGGGCATGGCGCCCTCCGCCACATGCCCGCAATGCGGTCGCGTCGAAACACTGAACCATGTCTTCCATGAACGCACCTTTTGGCGCATGGTTACCAAAATGTTCCAAACAAGTATGCAGTGGAAGTCTAGCCACAAGGATAACTTTGTCCTACTCTTAATGGCTATCGGAGCCTTCGTCTTATGGAAACGAAGGGGACTGGCCCGTCTGAGGGGACGCTCTCAGAGAGCCATGTTTCCCCTACTACATCGGCTAAGAAACATAATGCTTATGCATCTTAACACAGAACTAGTCATGCTGGGCGAGGAGGCTTACCTCCGACGTTGGTCTACGCGATTTATTATCGTAAAAAACAACAGTGTCCATGCCTTTCCTCCCCTATTGAGGAGGTGGGCTAGAGCTTGTACCACTGTGACATTACAGTGTGTATTTTTCTTTTCTTCCTTAGAAACATGTCCTTTTGTGCAGTATTGTTCTTGAGCGCGAGAGAAAATTGTCCTCACAGGTGAATGCAAAAGATCACCCTTCACTGTAAATGACCTCCCCTTGTTTGTTCATATAGCCTTACTGTTTATTTAAGTCTAGTCATCTCGATGGCAACAATGTCCTGTCTTTGTTGAACAATTTTTGCATTGTACGTCACTGCATACACTATAACTTCTTTCGCTGTATATAACCGCTTGCATTGTACATACGCATTGTTCGCCATTGTCCATTTTTATGTGTGCACATAAGCTGTGCATGTTATATCCGGAAATAAAATTCTCTTAAATCCAGTTGATCTCCAGTAACAATATATTTTGCTTCCGCTGCTTGGGACGGCTTTAAGCTCTTCCATAGTAGAGTACCAAGTACTCTAAATCATTAGCCACTTTTTCTAAACACGCTTTCCTTCTATGGTACTGAGACCGCCGTGGGTAGGAGGGGCGGAGTTCGCATATATTCTTAGGTCACAATCGACCACACAACAGTGAGGATGCAGCAAACGAGGATTTCTTTTTCTTGTGTGCAGCATGTTTTCAACATTAGCGCAGCTTTTATAGCGTCTCCGCGTGGTCAGTGGAATTGACGCTGGCTAGCCTCTGCCATGATGTCTCGTTCAGCGAGGTCGGCGTGGAAGGAAAATGTTCACTGCAGTCGGGTCCCCCGAAGTCGTGGCCTTGGATGAAGTAAACCAGCAGGTAGGCAAGTCCCGACCCCGTGGTCAGCCCAACGCTGTACGATAACGTCATAATGTTCCCTAGAAAAACAAAGACAGAAAGAGAGAGACAGAAAACGTTCAAGTACGGACTGTTATACCACACGAATTCATTCATTACACTACGCAATCAGGGAATTCTATATTCATGCGACCAGAAACAGGTGTGCCCCACCCCACCTCATTTCTGTACGGATGCGCGATTTCTTGTTCGTAGCTGTGTAAGGCTAGAGTTCCGTGCATTGTTCGACCCCATCAACGCTAGCTAGGTTTCTCAGGCACACCGTGGTGACATCCGGATCCAGTCGTGTTATGTTCTAGTGCTGCCGGAGGAACTTTGCTGTATATGCACATTTCGGACCTTGTACACGCTATGTTTGGCCCTCTGACAGCTGAACAGCATTTGGTGCCCTAATTATGCACCGTAACCCACTTACATCATGTCCATAAAAGAATCACTCAGACATGTCTCGCCCCAAGCGCTTACAGCTCTCTCTACACAAAAAGGCCAGCACCCTCTAGTGTCCACTCATACAATGCACAGGAGCTTTGCAGTCGGCGACATGCACATCCCGCACTCTTTTCTCAGATAGCGCAAGCCGTAGGCTATGCACATCCAGAGCATCAGTCCACAACGTTTGTTCACGACCACGCGAGGCCGCGCACCACCAGGACTCTCTTGGATCAGAAACGCCATCGACAATAGGACCAGCGCCACTAAGCTAGACGAGCAGCGTGCGCAAGACGCCGAACGCAAGTTCTTCTTGCGTTTTGTGGTGCTCCTCTTGCGTGCCGTAACGTCGGTCGTTTCTCGCGAGGCCATGAGGTGAGCCGTTGAGACGCGTCGTGCACGTTCGCGCCTGATTCTTGGCGGTAGTGGGGGCACGGGTTTGCGTTTCCACAGTTTTGATGGCAAATTCCAAACATTCTAAACAAACACCCAACTATATTACATTTACTGGAAGACGGAATTTCAGCTAGATCATTTAAAAAAAATAACGAAAGAGTTTCTAGTGGATGAAAGCGATGCTTTTCTTGATTTCTGAAATTTGTAGTTAATGATGTTTTTGTATTCGTTGCACCTTTTTCATTATTGTCCCTTTGCCTGTTGTTTATTATACTCTAATTTGTCTTGTAGAGCAACCCGATTTCCCAGTCAAGATGTCTCTTGTTAATTTATTTGATAGAAAACATGCATTGGCTCGTTGTTTCGTACAGACCTTATGCATTAAATTTCAACCATGACAGAGCAGACGATAATGTTTACGCTGTTCGCTTTCTGGAGAGAAAGCGGACGGTGACTCTGAGCAAGCAATTGTTCGCGGTTGAATTTTGCTCCCTTCGGGAGAACGGTCGGCATGCCGAGGTGTGCTGTGCCAGGCTGTCGAAGTGGATATTCATCGGCAACGTCAAATGAAGTGCCCTTCGTGCAGCGACACTTTTTCAAGCCACCGAAAGACCCCAATGTGCTGAGGGAGTGGAACAATGCGGCAGGCCGTGCAAACTTCGAAGTTACTCAAAGATCATACATATGTGATCGTCACTTTGATGAAGCGGACATTTGCACCTCCTTCCAGCATGTTGTGAATGGCGAAACAGTCTCGATTCCGCGAGGACGCTGGGAACTGAAGAAAGGTGCGGTACCGCGGCATTTTGCTAATTGCGCTGAGCTTGATTGAAGCTTGTGTAGAAAATGTTGGCACAAATGCAGCAAGCGTGCTAGTGGCCGAAGATGACATTACCCCAGTTCTTCAGAGTGAAAGTGAGACGTGCACTGAAATGCTTGAACACGAAAACAGGGCTGCCTCAAATGCTGAAAGCATGGAAGTCATCATGAAAGAAAGCTCCACAGGTGAACATTGGTTTGGTGCATAGAAGACTTGCCCGTGTATGGAGCATGGTGTGTGCAACACACGGATGAGCGTGTTGTTTTTTACAAACTTCAAGAAATTGGTGGCGTAGTTTTTATTGAAAGAGCTGTCGTTATAAACAAAAACTCGACCGTTGTTGTCAGCGCTAAAGGGAAACTTGTGCCGGAATCGTCTTACACCTTTATTAACAGTGACAAGCTCAATTTTACCACCTTGAAAGACGCAGCGCCCTTTCTTCATCTCATTGAGAGCCTGGGTATCTGCAATGGTTTTGATTCTCGTTTATGTCCTTTAATATCAACTTCTAAGACGGCTGAAAGGTCTGGGAGAACATGGAGAAGCAAGCGATGTGCAGTGCTGTCGGCGAAAGCCTTATGCGTTCAGTGCAGGAAAGCAAAAAAGAACTTGCAGTGCAGGCAGAAACGACGTTCAAGAAAGAGCAAGTACGTGCCTTTGCCATCTGCGCTGTTGAGAAATTTAAGAAAGAAGACTATAAGAGCAACAGTGCTGCGGGAGAAATACAAGAGGGACCTGCTAAGCTTGAAAAAAAAGTTGTCATCAGATCCAAGCAATGCACTGTTGAGCGAGGTTTTAGCTGAACTTCCACCACTGCAGCAACTTGCATTTCGGACAGCACTGCAGTCGATGAAAGCGAAATCTTCAAGAGGTGTGCGGTATGACTGTGGGTGGCTGCTGAGTTGCCTTCTCTTGAAGATTTCAAGCCCACGTGTGTACCGCTTGATGTCAAGAATGAAAATCCTCCCTCTTCCAACTTCGACTAGGCTCCGACAAATAATAAGAGGAATGCCTTGTGAGTTTGGCTTTAATAAGCTCTCCCTTTCCAGCATAGGGGCTTTCATGAAGACTATGAAAGGAGTCCAGTGTTACGGCACACTAGTAATAGATGAAATGAAGGTACGCCAAGCCGTAGCTTTCAACCGTCAAACATACAAGATTGATGGGTTCGTAAATTACGGAGACGGTGAAGTTTCAGCAGCTACTGCTGATCATGCATTGGTTGCAATGTTTGTGCCTCTATTCCACTCATGGGTTCAACCGATTGCAAGTTTTGCAACAAAAAACGCAGCCCCCGGACACGTGCTCGCCAAAATAGTTCTTGATGCAATCGTGCAGCTACGCAAACACAACGCCATAGTCGTCGCAGTAATCAGTGATGGCGCCAGCACGAACAAAGCAATGTGGTCCAACTTTGGCATATCAGGAAAGCTTCACACAGCAAACCACAAAGTTCAGCACCCATGCGAGCCAAATCAAAGCCTCTACTTCCTTTGCGATGTACCCCACATTGTCAAATGCATTAGAAACCATCTTCTTCGACACAAATATGGCATGGTAAGTACCACGTACAGTACAATATCGCAATAAATAGTGTCGCGGTGCCAATCAAAATACATTTTCTTCGCAGCACTACATACGACTGACGGACTTTTTTTTTTCCCTCTCTTCTTCTTGCTCATAGATTGGTGAACATCGCATAAACTATGACCACTACCGAGTTTTGCAAGAAGTAGACGGCAAAGAGCAACTCCGCATTGTTCCGAAGCTTACCGCTGAACACGTCTGCCCTGACAACATGAGAAAAATGAGTGTGAAGCTCGCAGTACAGGTAAGATTACGAAAAGCTGCTTTTGAAGAACTTATAGCTTACCTGATTATTTAGGCAAATTCTTCACATGTGAAACACAAACTTAACTGGTACTGTGAAGTGTTCTCCTTAAGTCTTTTTGCGATTAATAAAATGCCCCTATACGTTTTCTGTCCCCTAGCTGCTCAGCCGAAGTACGGCTATCGGCCTTGATGTGTACCGGAGACTCAAGCAAGATGGCCTGGAAGACTGCGAGGGGACAGCCGCGTTTACCCGCATCATAAATGACCTTTTTGATGCCCTGAACATCAAGCTTCCTCGTTTTGGGATAAGGAGCACATCCAAGGAAATTAAGGCAAGGGCGATAAATGTGCTACTTTTGAAGAACATTCGCAATAGGTAATGTTAATCAAGAACTGAGGCACTGGGCATATAAATAAAATACAAAACGCCCGACAAACATTTACACCAACAAAAGCCTAGTTTAAGTAGACATTTATTTTGTAATTGAAGGAAGGTATTATTGAAAGAAAGACGACGAATAAATGTCTTGGAACTTAGAACTTCTCCTTCCAGATAACTGAAATAAACGTCGATGAGAAGGCGACACGCCGCAAGCGTGATTTCAAGTATTACCAGCTTCCATTTTCATTCAGTGGCACACATGTTTCATTAAAAAATCAGGTTAAAAATAACTTTATGCCTTTCTTCAAAGGTCCCTTTTTTATAGGCGTCGACGTTTGCATGTAAGAGCTAGCTTGCACAAAAAAGTAATGTCTAACATAAACTTTTCCCTTTCTAGATCATCCAAGATTTCATGATTATCTTGGACTTGACAGAGAGAAACCACGTTGAGAAAGGAACAGCCATGTTCGCATCTCAAGTAACAATGGAGTCTCTAAGGGTGACTTTGTCATCTATCTTGGAACTAACAAATGACCTCCTTGCTAAAGGTGCACGCTACGTGCTCACAGGCAAGCTTAATCAAGACCCCTTGGAGGTGAGATTAGCATAATTCCATAAAACTGCGCACTTACTTCATTGCATGGAAAATAAACAAAACGGTTATGAGGAAGCATAGCGTGGTTTTAAACAGTCGTCATATCTCTATGTGAGATGTGCAATTCCCGCCTGAGACTTGCACTCTATAAATCCTCTTTATGCATTCCATACGCCATGCGTACTTTGACTTCTGAAAGAGATACATACGGTGAACTGACGTACGGCTTTATTACTACCATTACAGAGGTTCTTCGGAATCACCAGGAGCTTTGGAGGTGACGAAGACCATCCGACGATCCTGAGCTTTTCCCATATCTACAGGTTGCTGAGCCTGTACACACCTGTCAAGGCTTCGATTGCAGGCAATGTCCAAGAGGAGCCAACCTTAATACTAGCCACAGTGCAAGAGACGATGAAGCAAGGGAAGAAGCAGCAGCTGGCAACGTATGAAAAGTTGCGTGAGACAATCAGCGCAAAGATTTCCGAGGTTTGCTTGCCTGGAATAAGTTCAGCATCCCACTCGGGACCGACACCGCTTCCGGACCACGGATATGCTTTGCCAG